GCAGACCACAACGGACACGTAAGACCATAAGGTGGGTAACACGTAAGATGCCCACCGTAGTTGTGTGAGTTTTACCCTTTCTCAGGACTACTGGGAGTCTTTCATACTGCCTATCAAAAGAAAAAGAAAACTCAAAGATATAAAACTTGCCTCAAAGTTTTGCAACAGTCGAGTGGGCGTTATCCATAACTCCTTTTGACTCATTCTTTACCAAGAGATCTAGACTCTTCCGGAGCCTGTTGGCCTCCTTCTGAAAGGAAAACGTGAAATCATCTTTCTCTTGACGGTATTTATAAAAGCCCAAAAAACGGTATTCTTTAGGTGGCGTTTCGTCGAAGTAGGAATCCCATGACATTGTGCGTATTTCTATTTTGTATAAAAGTTAGTGCGGTTTAGGACTTTTATTAATGACAAGCTAAAGTTACGCATGTCATATGACGTTTCATGTAACACCAAACAATGTTCGTCAAAATCATGTGACCAAAATAACCTAGAACATCAAAATAAGAGTTACGATTTTTGTAATGCGAATTTCTGGGAACTTGGAAATTTTTATAATGAGCAAAGCTCAATGTCTTCGACACATGTAAAAATTGATGCAAAAATTTTTATTGTTTTCATTTAATCAAGTGTGAAATAAAAAATATTTACGGTATAATTCCTTACAAGATTCTGAAATTTACCCTTGCATTACTATCCCGTATAGTTGGTACTAAATCTCTTATCAGTCAGACGATTTGTCACACGTAGAAATTAAACATATTATGTCGATCGATTTAAAAAATCGATTAATCATACATGTGAATTTTTTGTCCAAAGTCTTAGCCAAAACACACAAAGTTCCCTAAACCAAAATTATTGTTGAGGTTTCTATGAACAGAGCAGTGCAAAGATCACGAAAAACTAATGTCTCCCTGTAAAGTGAAACGCCTTTGAAATTAGTGTTCATTTTGCCTATTTTTGCTAGATTATTCTTCAGCTCACAAATTCTTGCCATAAAAAGTGATTCACCAGATGCATCCAAACAATAACCATTTACAAAGTTTTACCTCAAGGGGTTAGTACATTACAAACATGTGAAAGAAAAGCTGTTTCATGATATAGTATAGATGACAATATTTCTTTTAATTAACAAAAATTTTTTTTTATGATTATTAGAACATATCTATTCAGTCAAACATTAGTCGAAACGTATGCAAGATTTAAAATTCCTTACCCATTTAGGCAAATGCTAATTGTCCTTAGCCAATACTTTAAGATTTAACTAAATAAAAAGAAGATAATATAGAAGTTATAATGATAATTTGCTTTGGATTATATAGATTCTAATACAATATTCATTTCAAAATATATTTACACATACCTTTTTTGATCTCTTATATCGGTTATATCATTGATCTCAAACTTGCTTTGGTATTCAATAATCAGTATATTGCGACAACTTTTCCACCAGCTCATTGACAACTTCTCTGAGTAATATAGTAGAGTCTTTGTATGCTTCAAGCTATTTCAGATATTGTTCTTCAATTGCTGTGGATTTGTATTTTGTTGGATGTGATATTTGAAGTATGGATCCAGAAAACAGACCGATTCCAGATAATGGTATTGATTGCAAGTCTTCTTTATTGATTTTTTCAACTTCCATATTAATTAATTCTGGATTGATTTCTTCAACTTCCATATTAATTAGTTCTGAAACTTGCACAGAACTGCTGTCTCCTGCTTCTACCCTTATTTCTGATATGCAGTCAGTCTTCTTCTTCTTTGTCAGCTTCATAGGTATCAGATCCTGTCTATCTCGTCCTGCTTTCACTTGGGGAACAGTATGATGAATATCTTGCTTAATAATGATGGTCATTCTTTTAATTCCTGATTTATAGCAAGTAAACATTTATTGGAAACCAACATCTATCAATTGCGTAGCTTCTGCAAATAAGAGGTGTGATTCTGGCTATGAGCTACTAAATCCTACTTTGAGTTTAGTAATTAATTTTCAAAGAGCTTCTTGATGATTCTTAACAGATCATGAACTTCTGCTCACTAACCGATCTCTAGCAAATTCTGAAATCAACAAGTTAAGTTGGTCATACTCTGCTTGTGCCATTTTAATATTTTGCTTTAGATTCTCTAAATTAGTTATCTGTCCAGTCATATTTTCCTTTATGAACTTCATTCCAAATGTTTCCAGAGCCTCGTCAAAGGTAAAATAATACTTCTCACATGTCAAGTTAATTGAAGACACTATCTGAAGAGCTTGAAGAAATCCTGGCTTGCTTTGAAGGTCTGACAAAAATCATGCTACAGACGCAGTATATCTTCTTTTTCCTGTTATAGGAAATAAAGGAGCGAAGACCATTAAGCTATGTATTTGCAGATTAAAGTTTGCCATGCGAATATCAAGCTTGTGCAATTTCAAGTATCCTGCCCATTGGTAAAAGTTATACCATACTTTAAGCAAATTGTTATTTGTTGTGAGGATATCACTAATAGAAATATTTTCTTCCTGAATATATAAATGGATTACAACTCCAACTGCTACCTAAATGAGTTCAAGTACTTGAAATATTGCCTAATAATCAGCAACTTGTTCAAGTCTGTCGAGAAATCAAATACCAAGCTATACGACAAGTCTAAAAAATCTGTAATCAGAAAAGGCAACAATTAGTACACTGCACATTGACTTGTTAGTATGCCATTATTCTAAAATGCAATACACCATTTGCTCTTTATTCTTGTAATCTTTCATGTGATGATAAATTGCTTCATCACATACCAAATGTAATACACTATTTTCTATATAATCAAAGTCTTCGAGAAATATATCGACGGCCTAATGAATGTACTCATTTTTGCTTGGAGCTTCTCCAGGCTCAAGAATTATAATATTTGGAGGCGCTACAAATAATGCTGAGTTAATATCTTTTTTAATAATTATATCAAGGTGTTCAATATCAAATTTTTGCCCTTCATTAATTAATTAGCCAAAGATGGTATTAATTTTTTCTTGCCATTTTTTCATAATAGAACTTCTGCCAAATAGGTTTGGATTTTCTAATAATTCTCTATTTATATTGGCAAGTGCTAAACATTAAAACTGAAAGACCATTCGCAATATCACATGTGCAGTACCACGAGTTACATCAAAAATATTGCTATATTGAAAAGTATTATCTTTCATATCGATATTATCAATAACTGCAAGATTCCAAACGTTCAGATATAGATTGAGCCTTGACTGAGATTCTGTAGCTAATATTCTTTTTTTTAAACATGCACTTCATGATCTTTAATATATGATATTACCTGAACTGCGTAAAGAATTTTGTGTAAAGATCCTATCATTTTTGGTCATTGACAAAGAGAAGAAAGAACATGTGTAAATCATATTTTCTAATAGTGAAAGGTAACAATAAGTAAAATAGAAGTGAAAAAGAGAGATAAGACTTTGATTTTTTTTCATCTAATTATAATGGAGGTAAATTTCTCTCCTTTCATTTTCTATTTAATATCTGATTCCTCTTTTCTTCTAGAACTGAAACTAAACTAACAAAAATATTTAAAAGAGGTGATGACATAGTATTATAGTATTCATTCAGGGATTCTGATTCTTCGAGTGATGATAATTTCTGCTTGAGTTCTGATCGTGCTTGTAATACAAAGTGGACAAGTATTCTTCTAAAGTCCTTGCATGTAATGGTTTTCAATTGCGTTGCTTGTATTTCTTCATTAATATCAATTTTTTTGATAGCAAACGCTGTTTTGATTAAAAAAAGACTTGGAACTGTGGAAATAGTAGAAGATATGCCAATGGTATTCTGTATCTTGGGTATATCCATAGTAAGGTTATCAAGAATATTGACAAGCTCTTTTAGTAAACTAACTTTAACAGTTTTATTATCTGATGTAACGGTCTGTTCAATCTATTTACCAAACAACTTCAAAGTAAAGATAGTATTAGTATCGTGTTGTTCTTGTTCTAAGCATGAAACTGACTGTTTTTCTTTGCCTGGCTGAATATATAGATGGTCTTCATGTATTACAAAGCAGTTTGTGCAAATAAAATGAGGGTGGTTATCAGTAAATGACTTAGTCAACAATCTATCATATAAAGTTATTGCTAGACAGTTGAACAATCCATAATATAGAGCTTAAATTACGCATTCATACACTTTCCATGCATATATTGAACATGTTTTACCTCTTGTAAAAAAGTATCGAAGTTTCTTGCAAAATAAATAGTGATATAATGTAATAATACTTTCTTCAGTTATTCATACTGCCTTTATGCGTCTTCCTGACTCAGGTTTGTATATAATATTTTGGTCATAGTTGAGATAATGCAAACAAATATCCAGCTTTGAAATCTCATTTTCAACTTCTTGCACAGTCTTAGAGTCAACCTCCCACGTATCAGAAAGTTATCTCACACCATGAACTTCTGTATTATTATACCTTTGGATTATGTGTTGATTATTATCATTATCAATAATAACACAATATATTAGTTTAATAGCATAATCCGCAAGAGAAGAAATGGTCCTTTCAAATTCCTCCTCAAATATTTCTATCTCATTATTACTTTCAATAAATTCATCATCTGTTTCCTCAGTATATCTGGTAGTTATTTCTCATACTCTCTTAAATGAATGCCAATTGAATGTGAGAACTCTCTCATTATACACCATCATTTATTCAATATCAATGCTGGATTCTTGGTTAAAGTTGTCATAAATCTCCTCTTCATGGTCAAGCGAAGCTTCAGGTAAAAATTCCATAATTTTTTGATTTTTGATTTATTTAATATAACAATTTGAATAAAACTAATATTATAGCACTTTGGCTTACAGTATATATTTATAGATGTGTATTGCAATAATAGCATTTGGTTAACAATTATAATTGTAATTCCCTTTTTGAATTTCAATGCACATTTATACATATACTATTATTATTAGGTGAGAACAATGTATATAATTCTATCAAGAAAAGATTCTTTATTTTTATGTTTAATACTTTAACAAATGCATATTAAAATTTATTATTATCAATCATCATTACTATTATTCTCATCATCATTTTTTATAATTATATTATTATTTTTTACATGTATAACCTAATCGATAGCTAGATTATTACCTGTCATCTTCAAATAAATAATCAGTTTTCCCTCTTTTCAAATCCATTAACAATTGGTTTTTTATTGATATTACATCACTTACTAACCTAATGAAAAGTGAGAGGATGAGTATAGGCAAAAGCAAGAATAGGGGTCAAGCAAAAGTAAAAGACTGAGTGAATAAGTAATATATGAGAGTGACGTCTGACTTCTGATATCCGTATCTTAAACTCTTAGAA